ATTTTATTCAAAAATTTCCCTGGATACCAATCCGTTGGACTATTGTGTCTGCCAACCTTGCGGCACTAAAAAATACCAAAGTGTTGATCACCTCAAGCAAGTGCAAGTTCGCCGGGAATGTGCCAAAATACCGCAGAGCAACATTCGGACAGCGTGTGACGGTTTCATTGACCTTTGATCTAAACTTATTCTAAAATTTGATGCTATTTCCCACATTTTTTGCTTTCATTCAATAAAATTAAAAGTACAAATGTAAAAATTATAGAGTTTTTTTTATCTCACCCTGTATATAACAATTCACTTTAAATTTGCACAACAAATAGGGTGCACAAGATGCGAAAAAGTCCCATTAGCGTTGCCATCTTTGCAAATTATTTCTTCTTGTTTTCAAATAACTAATTTAACAAAGCCCCCAAAATACTGGTGAATTTGGCAGTTCAGAATCGTATTTTTAAAGTTTTATGTTGCTCCACGGACCAGACCAACATCCTAAACTCATATGTGAATCATACTTCTTATCTCAGTTGCTTATTTTTATAAAAAAAACAAGAGTATTAAATTTGCACCAACATTTCACAACAGATAGGGTACACAAGATACGAAAAAGACACATCAGCGTTGCCATCGTCGTAAGTTATTTCTCTTTGATTATTATAATATTTTTCGTGAACATAGAATTTCGCGCCGATATTCATGATTGAACAAATATCAAAACACAGGATTGCATGAGGTTACCTTCCGAATTCTACCATGGAAGTTATTTTAAAAATCATCTAAAGATCATTGTTTTTTGGCATTCTACTTTCATTTTTCGTTTTTTGTTTTTTGCAAAATTATAAAACAACTAATCCTACAAAAACAAAACAAACACAATGTGTATAGATGTCGCTAAAGTTATTGCTGACTACAAAAGAATATATTCCAGAATTGATTTTAGAATGCAAAATTGCTCTGATTTTTCATTTGTTTCGAGGCGATTACTGGCCATGGGGCTGTCGATATTTTTGTTTTCATTCATCATTGATTGAAGAGCAACACAAAACGATAAAGAGGAACGGAGGAAAACAAACAAACAAAAAACAACAACCTTTTTTAATGTTGTTATTGAACTAATTGTTGTTGTCGATGTTGTGTAAGTATCAACGGTTGTGGTTGTTGTTTCTATTGTGTGGCAAGGTAATGACGATGATACTTCTCCAGTTGTTGCTATTGTTAAAGTTGTTGCTGTTGTTATTGTTGGGGATGATGACAGTAACGACGACAAAGAAGTATTGGAGGAAGATGGCGATAACAAAAATTTTCCTCCTCCTCCTCGGCCTACTTCAGCAACACTTGTTGTTGTTGCTAGGGACGACGCTGCAGGTGAGGGTGTTCTATTGCCTTCAGCATCAGAGCCAGCAGCCGCCGTAGTGGTTGGAGAGTGTTGTGGTGTTATGACAATTCTTACTTTTCGTCGTCGTCTTTTATTGAAAATATCCCTTTGACTGTGGGCCTCAGGGGAAGCACACAGCTTGGATGGTGACGCCGTTGACGAGCATGCCGTCGTCATTAATGTGGCCGCCGCCGACGCAGATGCCGTCAACGTTGGTGACTTTTTTAAATTGTTATTATCATTGTTCGATTCATTGGCAATTGTTGTTAGATTGTTTGTAGTATTTATTTTTGTTGTTGTTGTTTTGGTAGCTGTACTGTTTTCATTTATTATTAATTGTATGCAAGTTTTGGTGGACGAGGAAGACTGCTAGAAAGTAATTTTTGATTTTTTGTTTTGTTTCGAATGTTTTTGAATTTGAAGCAAAAAATTAAGAACAACAACAAACACACATTCAAAATAAATCAAACAAAAAAAAAATATTTTAAAAAGACAGACAAATATAGTAATAAATATAGATATGGAAAGAAGACGAAGAAGAATAAAAAGAAAATAGAAAAAGAAGACAAAAAACAAATTGAAAACGAAAGAAAGATCAAAATTGTTATTTTGTTGTTTTCAAACGTAAAGTAGTTCATTTTTTTTGTTTCGTTTTGTTTATTTTTTGAAAAGAAGAAAACACCAACAACATAGATAAAAGTAAAATAGAAAGAGAAAGAAAGGAGAGAATACACATGTAGATAGTATAGTAGGAAATAGCTTGTAAGAAAGTAAGTAGTTTCAGTTTTTTTTTTGCATTATTATGTTTTGAAAAATAGGATAGAGAAAAAGTGTTTTGAAAATAGTTTTTAAAAAAGATTCTACTCTACATACATTGGATTCGTTCGGAGTTTGCTAAATAGGAAGGGGATGGAACACAATATGTAACTATTAGTTGACATCATGACCAGAAAATAACGTGAGCTGAATTTTGAAAATAAAATATTTTATATTCGTTGCAACAAAGGATAAGAAATCTCTGGAGAAGGGAAAACGGCTTTCGCGTAAATGACATTGATAACCAAACTAATTTTAAATGATTGATTATACTAAAATTTAATACTTCAAAACTAATTGTGAAAAATTAATGTTATTAAAACATATATATGTATACATTACACTGTGTGACAAAATTCCATTTTTTTTTTTTTTTCAATAATTACAGAAAACAAAATCCAACAGATTATGAAATATAGGGGCAGGCAAAATCCCGCTCCTGACAAACATTTTTAAAAATTTTCGAATTAAGATTCCTTGGAATTTGTCGATTTTAGGTATACATTGTCTTCGGCAATATTAGAGAGAACCATATGAGGATTATTTTGGTCACAGATTTTAACCATCGAGGGGCCTTTTTGGTACTTCTTTTCAAAATATGGTTAAAATCTCCCTTTAATGGGATTGTAGCAACTCAAAATGTTCTCAAAAGTCTAAGTCTTATCTAAAATCTAACCAGTAAAAAAGTCTTAGGGTCGGGCGAGACCGACTTTATGATAACCTACACCACTTTGTAGATCTTCACAAAACGTATAAAAGTTTTATGTGGAATTTGTGAGAATTAAATCATACCAACTATGATTATAGCTATAATTTATAGTCCAAAGGAATGAATATATGAGAGGATTATCCTCCTCTGAATCGATTTCTACTAAATTTGCCAAGGCATTTGTGCCTTTTCAATTCAGGCTTACATTACCCATTAGTTACATAATTAACTTAAAATCGGATAGAGATATATATGGGAACTATATCCAAATCTGAACCGATCTTGATAAAATTTGGTAATGATATTACTGAGCTGAATTTTATATATTTTCCCGAATATCGTTAATACAGAGTGCATATGACGGCTGTGAAGGACAAAAATAACAAATCGGACGAACAATATATGTGGGAGCTATAGCTATATATATCTGAACCGATTTCGATCAAATTTGACATACTCATTTCTAGGCTAAATGTGGTCGTAAGTGCCAAATTCCATCCGATTTGGGCGAATATTACACGTTTGGTGCACAATAAAAAACAAATCGGATGAAGATATATATGGGAACTATATCCAAATCTGAACCGATCTCGATAAAATTTGGTAAAGGTATTACTGAGCTGAATTTGATATATTTCCCCGAATATCGTTAATACAGAGTGCATATGACGGCTGTGAAGGACAAAAATAACAAATCGGACGAACAATATATGTGGGAGCTATAGCTATATATATCTGAACCGATTTCGATCAAATTTGACATACTCATTTCTAGGCTAAATGTGGTCGTAAGTGCCAAATTCCATCCGATTTGGGCGAATATTACACGTTTGGTGCACAATAAAAAACAAATCGGATGAAGATATATATGGGAACTATATCCAAATCTAAACCGATCTCGATAAAATTTGGTATAGGTATTTCTGAGCTAAATTTGATATATTTCCCCGAATATCGTTGTTACGGAGTGCATATTACGGATGTGGAGGACAAAAATAACAAATCGGACGAACAATATATATGGGAGCTATAGCTATATATGAACCGATTTCGATCAAATTTGGCATACTTATTTTCAGGCTTAATTTGATCGCATATGCAAAATTCCGTACTATTTGGGCTGATATTACACATTTGGTGCACAATGAAAAGCAAATCGGACGAAGATATGTATGGGAGCTGTATCTAAATATTGATCGATTATCCCTAATTTCAATGGGGCTCGTCCTTGGATTAAACAATTAATTTTTGCAAAATTTCATCTGGATCGGCCAATAAATGCGACCTGTACTTTGTTTACAAAAATGCATGGACGGACAGACGGACATGCATAAATCGAATCAATATGTGATTCTATGCAGATTATCAAAAGGAACCATGGGTCTATCTCGTATCCTTTTGCCTCTTACAAACAAATGCACAAAGACATAATAGCCTGAACATCTTGTGGTGTAGGGTATAAAAAGCTTAATTTCGCAATACCAAAATTTCTCAAAATTTTAATTAAAAACTTAAAACTCAAAAAAAATATTTTTTTTCAAAAATTGTAAGCTTTAAATACTTCCAGAAATATATTTCGTTTTACGCCCACTGATTCCAACATCTCCAGAAATTCCTAAATAACAAATGTTTTTTTTTTCGATGGTGTTTACTACGTGAGTGTTAAAGGTGACAAGGTAAGGAAGAACTAGGGGGATGACGGGAGGAGAGTGAGGTAGGAAATCTACAAAATAAACTTCAGGTGTTTGTTGCAAAACCAACAATCCAAACACAAACGACAACAACATCAACGTCAACTACTATTGGGGTTTCGTTTTGCTTAAATTTAAAAAAAAATAAATAAACCAAAAAAATGTCTGCAAAATCTGGTAGAAATAAAAAAACAAGGGTTATGGAGGATTCCTGATCTGAGCGGGGGGCGTAGGAAGAAAGGAAATCAAATGTTAACAACCTAGTTTATACAATTTCGTTTTGTTTTCGGTTTCATTTTTTACAAAATATTAAATCACATCAAATTATTATTCTTTTACTGATTTTCAATATTAAATTTTCAATATTAAATATAATTTTGAAATTTCCATTTTTTGTTTTGCCACAACTCACCTGAGAATCTTCCGAATCTTGCCGTGTATCTAATAGTGTATTCAAAGAACTATTTACATCTTCATCAATATCAATGGGTATAACAGCAGCCATACCTTCACGTTGTATTTGCTGTAGATGATCTTCAGATTTGCTGGTGCGAAAACCGGCCGAATCACATTTGCGCACAATCTGGCCATTGTGATGGTGGTGGTGATGATGATGACGCCGCACCACACCGCTGGTGTCCACGGCACCCGGAACGGTGGTGCCACCCGCCATATTCGATGGTTCCGGACTGGTGGGCACTGAATTGGCGGTTTCCTTGTCGATCAGGGGCGTTGACAGGGATATGGGTGATGTGGGCACTGAGAATGAGGTTTCATCTTGGGAGGTATTATTGCCGCCGCCGCCACCACCACCACCTACACCACCTGCATTTGCCCCGCCGCCACCCATTGTGGCAGATGATGATGAAGATGCTGAACTACGCAAATTCCGTGAAGAATCCACATTGTCCTCGGAACGCAGCTTGTAGCGCAAGGCAGCCTTTTGTTTTAAAGCTTTGAGTTTTTGTTTTGTTGTTGTGGCCGCCGCTGAACTGCCCAAAGAGTTGGGATCCTCGGGCAGATTTTCATCGTCATCCTCATCATCGTCGTCGTCTTCCTGCATTAGACATTGTCTATCACTAGCCTCATCATCGGCATGGACACTGTTGCCACCACCACCGCCGCCCATGCCACCCAAGCCACTGTTGTAGGTTTCCAAATTGGTAATATCATAGTTGGTTTGATCTTCCTCATCGTCGTCATCCTCCTCCTCATCATCATCCTCCTCATCGTCTTCCTCTTCCCCGGCATAATTGCCATCATCATAGTCCTCATCCTCATCGGGATTGTCATCCTCATCCATATTATCGTCATCTTCATTCTGATAGTATTCATAGGTTTTTTGGCGTTGCCGATTTGTCTGCTGCTGCTGCTGCTGATGGCGTTTGTGTTTATTCTGCTGCTGGACATAACGCTGATGACGATGATGTTGCTGCCTGCCGCCACCGGCCGTTTCTGGTTGTGTTCCATCCTCATCGTCCTTCTCCAATTCTTCGCACAGCAAAAGCGTATCATTGGTAAGGGAATCCTGACGATTGTTGTAGGTTGTGTCCATACTATCCGGCTGATAGTTTTGGAGATTTTGCGCCAGCGCTTGTTTCTTGTGGAAACGGGATTTTTCTCTGTTCTGTAAATTCTTGGAATCCGTGTTGGTGGAGTGGGTGTGGCTGGCATGGGTGGGTGATTCTTGGGATGAGGAGGAGGTGGGTGAGGATTCACCCGATGCCTTGGGAGCCAAGGCCCCATTGGCCCTTGCCAAGCCCACACGATTGGGTGAATCACGTAGTGAGTCGACTTTTTTCGCCTGTACCGTCAAGACATTGCTGCTCTGGGGTGTACGCGAGAGATTCAATATCAAATCACCGGTCATCATGTAGGCCTCGAAACGAGGCGCCTTGGCTGGCTGGGGTGGTGCTGAATTGGGTTCGGGTGTATCACGATCCTCTGAAGAGTTATTGGATCGATTTAGTCTTGTCGATGTATTGCCGCCGCCGGCATAGCTGTTCGAATGTTGCAAGGAATGTGGATGATTGGGACCTGTTGCTGTTGCTGTCGCCGTCGTTTGGGTATTGCCATTAAAGTTCGTTGAGTTGACGGCCTCACCGCCTGCCGTCGATGTTATGGAAGAAGTCATCGATGTGCCCATTACACCAGCAGCCTTGGGTATCTGGGATGGCCGTGGCCGTTTATGTTGGGGAGATTGCTGGGCCTTTTGGCTACTTTTCTTGGCCTGGGGTATGCGTGAGGGTATGCGCGATGTGGGCGAAGTGGCTGTTGTTGGACCACCACCACCCTCCAATTGTATTTTATTCGATGAAGCCGATGAACTGCGGCTGTGATTGGCAGAATTGGTGGCCGCAGCCGCAGCTGCCGCATGATGACGTGGTAAATTTGTGGTGGCTGCTGTTGAGGATTTGTAACGGGACGATGATGAGGCAGGTGAATGATTGGGGCTAGATGTTGTTGCCGCCGCTGTTTGTTGTTGGTGATGATGGTGTTGTACAATTGTTGTTGTTGTTGTATTGTGCGTTGTCGTCACATCGTATTGAAATTTACTGTTATTGCTATTATTACTACTACTACTGTTGTTGGCAGCTTCGTGATGTTGTTGTTGTTGCTGATAGTGGTGGTGCTGAGGTGATGACTTTATTTGACGCTGGTTATGATAATCGTAATTATTTGTGGGTGATGTCTCAATATCAATATAATGGGGACTTTTCGTATTGGCCAGCTGTTCCTTTATTCGAGCCTTCAATTTTGGATCTGTGAAGAGGGAGAGGAGAAAGAGAGGGAGAGAGGGAGGAATTAAATATAGCCTTTTGGGAGTTATCATGTTTACATACCTCTTTTCAGTTCCAATGTTACCAAATCTTCCGAGAGCCGTAGACACTTCAATACCTCCTTCGTTGTATATTGATGCACATCGATGCCGTTTACTTTGAGGATAACATCACCGGCCTCAACCTGGAAGGTAAACAAAGAAGAGAATAACTTGATTATTATGAAATAGAAAAGAGAGAGAGAAGGATTATATTAAAAGAGAGAGAGAGAATTTGAGTTCTCTGAGAGCAGAGTTTTCGTAACAAAACCTAAGGGAGAAGTGTCAAAAAATGATTTTTGAGGTTAAACCAAAATCAAAGGTAGACTATTTCAAGGTATATTTATTTAAGGCAGGATTTTCGTTTCTTATTCAATTCACAACAAGATAACACGTCTTTAGACATTTTTAATTTAATTTTAGACATATTTTAATATGTGTTGTTATTTTTTCAGTTCTAATAGAGCCATAACCTAAATTTCTTTGGCAGAAGAATACATTATTCTTCCTAGGAAACTGAAAATGAGGCTCAATTAGGTTTTGAATTATTCCTTTTTGGGTTTAAGGGGAAATTCGTAACTTAATATCCAATCTAATATAAAGTCGAATAAAATATACCACCAATGGCTAGCATAGCTTTTATCTCGGATTTTTTTTTTTTGGGCCACCAAGGAGCTTTTATTGCGGATTATTTTTAATAGAACGCCAAAGCCTGAGCTAATGTCGTTATTTTGTAAGAACCGCCAGAGGTATAGTAGTTGCCTTTTAAAGGGTAGCAAGGGGTGTAATCGAGAATTTTGGGAACAACCAGCTGAGGTATAATCGAGTATATTAACAGAACAACCAGAAAATTGGGGATTTTTAATGGACCGCAGGGGTTTTTAAAAAACCGGCTATAATTGACAGAGGTTGAAGGCCGATCACAGCTTTGATCCTGGATCAAAGCAACAACACAGGAACAGTTAGAAATGTTGAAAAAATCCCAACCAGAGAATTGTGCATTTTTTACAGGTCCATCAGGGCTATAATCGTGGGGGTTTCATTAAAGCTAAAATCTGAAAAAAAAAAATAAAATTTTTGCAGAACTACCGAAGGAAAAATGGAGGACTTTTAAGAAAATTAGAGCTGAAGTTTTTAAAGCACCACCAGAGATTTAATCACAGATATTTAATTATGCGTTGGAGTTATGTTTTTATGCCCCTCAGGCATAGGGCTACAGAGGGTATACAGGGTGAGATTAAAAAAACTGCAACAATGTCAATAATTTTTACATTTTTTTTTAAATTTTACTGAATGAAATGAAAAAAAGGTCGGAAATAGCATCAAATACTAGAATAAGTGTAGATATGTTCGAATTGGTCACCTTTGGCACGAATTACGGCCTTAAAACGGCCAATGAAACCGCCACACGCTGCCCGAATGTTGCTCTGCGGTATTTTGGCCAATTCACGGCGAAGCGCTTGCTTGAGGTGATCGACACTTTGGTATTTTTTAGTGCAAACCTTGCTTTCCAAAATACTCCAGACACAATAGTCCAATGGATTGGTATCCGGAGATTTTGGTGGCCATTGTGCGATGGAAATGACGCGAGGAACCTCATTTTGTAACCATTCTTGGGTGGCGCCTGCTGAGTCCTGTTGGTTGGTCCAAGGTCTGCGGCCAAAATGTTTGCGTTGCCAAGGCTTTAATACACCCTCAAAATATTTTCGCGATAATATTCGCCATTTATTCTGATGCCACGGTCGATTAATAAGAGCGGAGAGTAACCATCGGTTATTATGGCGGCCCACACCATCACCATGGCCGGCGCTTGAGTTCTGGTGGCCAACCGAAGTGGCAAGTAAACACGATCATTTTGTTTGTTTACAGTTCACGCTAGATCGACTCCAAATGTCCTGAAACGGGTTTGGTCCAAAGAGACCTCGGGTCTGAAATCGTTATTTCGATGATGCACGTTTTGGCCTTATCAAATGATATATACCCTCTCTAGCCATATGGCTGAGGGTATAAACAAAAATTCCAGAGACTTTCCGATCCTAGACCCTAGCACCCATTAGCCAATGGTGCATATACACAATCTCCTCCAGTTAATATCAATTATACGTCAATGAAATGTTAGCTTGTCAATATTTATTCTTTTTTTTCTTCTTCAAGAAATCCCCCCTTCCCCCCGTATTTTATGTGAATAGCGGATTTCATTCATTTCCCATACCACCTACCCCCTTCTCCCCTGGAGCGCCCTCCTCCACAAAAAAATGAACAACTTATATCCTTAGGTGGAAAATGGTATTAAGTGAAATTTGTTTGCAAAACATAAATATCTAAAGGGGCGGTTGGAGGATAATGCCAGGCGCCTATATCTTTATCTGGCTATCTCTCTGCCCCCTTTTGGCTACAATGATTTTTCTTGCATTTCCTTGGGTTGTTGGTGTTTATATTACCACTACATAATTCTTAAAGCCACCAATCACACACGCACACACAGAGCCATTCGTGCACACATGTCTTGTGGTATGTGGGGCATTTGAGGGACCTACTGAATATATCACTATTTTTTTGTCCCTTTGGTAATTGTATATGGAACAGATTTGTTTCTTTTTGCACACACACACAAAACCACACATATCTGTACACCCACCAAAAAAACACCCAATTGCGAATGGTTGGCTTTAGAGCTTTGCCATTTGCTCTCTCTCTCTCTCTCTCTCTCTCTCTCTTCCTTCGAACCACAAAAATGTTTTATTGATTGATTTTTGGGTCTTGCAACAACAAAAAACATGGGGGAAAAATCAAAGTGAACAATATTATTTGTGTGCTCTGGTGGCCTACATCTGTGTGAGAGAGTGAGGTGAGGGGTGGTGGGGGTGTGACTGACTGGCATGCATGCCTATCAAATACCATCATGACAGCAATCGGTTTTGTATGGAAGCAGGCTTGTTGTTTTGATGTTTCCACTTAGATGGATAAAAATCAAGTGTACTTTTTGTTGCTACTGTTGTTGTTGTTGTTGTTGTTGTTGTGGTTGTTGTCTTCGAGAATGACATGAATAGCAAAGCAAATAAAAAAAACGAAACCAAAAAAGAATTACACATCACAGCCTTTTTTTGACATGTAGATGGATAGATATATCCTTTCGTGGTTCATGGCTAAGCATGGAGAATTTTTTTTTGGTATTTGAGGTTTGATTGTCCCAAATGGCATCAGGATTGGACAATTTTGCCGATATGTGGGACCACCGGGACGTATACGTATTGGCTTATTGTGTCAATAATAATCATACGCCCCCTAAAAAGACTTCCAGAGATTTTGGTAGTAATGATATTATATAGGACAAGTAAAAATAGTATCAGTCGGTTTTGCCGGCAGATGTATACCCTCAGTCTTGAGTTATAATTATTCAAACTGTTGACCATTAATGGGGGAGGCAGGCTTCGAAGCACTTGGACAATATTGACCAATTCGTATTTGACCTAAGACTGATATAAATATTACAAGGTGCCGGATTTGGACTATATCGACTAGTTCCTATACTTTATATGAGATATGTGTAAATTTTGGGAAAATGTGGAAATATGCGTTAGGTATAGCGATATATCGGACCGAAGGATTCCATTTTCATACTTCATCGAATACAGATAAAACTATTGGTAAAGGCAAAATTTTAAGGAAATCGAACATTTATATCCAATTTTATGCGAAATCATAATTTTTATTTTGGGTGAAATAAAAAAATCTGCATCAAAATAAATGCCGAATATTGTTGGGAAAATATTCTGGAGGGTGTAATAAGTCTTGGGCATGCAAACATTTTGGCTGCAGACCTTGGACATTCAACAGGACTCCAACAGCACCATTGCACTCAGCACACGCCACCCAAGAATGGTTACAAAATGAGATTCCTTCATTTCCAGCGCACTGTGGACACCAAATCTCCGGACTTTGTGTCTGGAGTGTTGTTTGGAGAGCAAGGTTGGCACTAAAAATACCAAAGTGTCGATAACCTCAAGCAGGCGCTTCGCCGGGAATGGGCCAAAATACCGCAGAGCAACATTCGGGCAGCGTGTGACAGTTTCATTGGCCGTTTGAGGGCCATAATTCGTGCCAAAGTTGACCAATTTGAGTCAATTCGAACAAACCTAAACTTATTCCAAAATTTTTTTTCAAGGCCATAATTCATGCCAAAAGTGACCAATTCGAACAAATCGAAAATTATTCTGATTTTTTTTTATCTCACCTCCCTTTAGTAGAGCTCCACATAACAATTAAGTTACGTTTTTATGGTTGAATTCTCCAAACATACACGCTAGGATTATAATTATAATTTAAAGTTCAAAGGACTAAATATGCCGAAGCATTTGTATCTTTAAATTCGGACTTGTATTGCCCATATGGTGCAAAATTAATTTGAAATCAGATAAAGATATATATGTGGGAGCTATATCCTAATCTGAACCGATCTCGATAAAACTTGGCAGATATTTCTGAGCTGTATTTATATATATTTCCCCAAAATACCGTTGTTACAGAGTGCATATTACGGCTGTGGAGGAGAAAAATAACAAATCGGCATGAGCAATCTGTGTGGGAGGCTCTAGCTATATCTGAACCGATTTTTCACCAAATTTGACATAATTGGTTCTAGACCAATCTGGTCGTAAGTGCCAAAATTCCATCCATTTGGGATAATATTACAATTTGGTGCACAATAAAGGGCAAATCGGGACGAAGATGTATATGGGAGCTATATCCAA